ATAATTTAGAAGTTAGATTACATAAAGATCATAATTTATTTACTCTATACAAAAATTTTATACAAGAATTTATTGATTTAGGTCATGCTTCTCAAATTGATATTAATCAATATGATCTCAATAAAGATCCAGTCTATTTCTTGCCTCATCATCCAGTAGTAAGAATGGATAGAAAAACTACTAAATGTAGGACAGTGTTCGATGGTTCCATGAAAACTAATAAAAAGGTATCACTTAATGATATACTTTTAAATGGACCAGTAGTACAGAATGAATTGTTTGACATTTTAATACTGTTTCGATTTGAGGAATTTGTATTCATAACTGATATAAGACATATGTTTCGTGCTATAGTTTTAAATCCTCAATATTGTTCATTACAAAACATTCTCTGGAGAGACTCACCAGAGAAAGAAGTTGAGTGCTTACAATTAAATACTGTTACATATGGACTAAAAAGTTCAACATACCTAGCAACTCGTTGTTTAATTGAGTTAGCTGAGAAATATGCTAAACAATTTCCTAAAGCATCTTTTATTTTAAAAAATCAAACATACGTAGATGATATTTTAGCTACTGATAGTTCTCTAGAGTCATTAAAGGAATCAAAAGAGCAGCTTTGCCAACTTCTCAAAATAGGAGGCTTTCAGTTGCATAAATGGGCATCCAATAAAGATGAAATTCTAAATGATGTTCCTATAAGTAAACAATATTTTGATGAAATTGATTTATAAAAGAATAATGTTTATTTGAAAACTTTAGGTATCAATTATGATATCAAGTCAGATTCTTTCACGCTTTATGCACCTAAGCATAATGGAGTTCCAAAAACTAAACGTGAAGTGCTTAGTTTCATAAGTAAATTCTATGATCCATTAGGTTTAACTGGACCATTAATAGTAAAAGCCAAAATAATTTTACAAAAATTATGGCAGGCTCGTTTGGATTGGGATTCTGTTTTGCATGATGAATTACAAGTTCTTTGGCATGAGTTTTATAATAGCTTAACTATGATGAAACCTATTCTTATTAAACGCTACACAAACTTAGCAAATGCACAATGTATACAGTTAATAGGGTTTTGTGATGCTTCAAGCTATGCTTATGGTTGTTGTGTCTATTTAAGGGTTATTGATTGCAATGGTCATGTGAAAATTTCTTTACTTTGCGCTAAATCTCGCGTCAACCCTCTCAACCAAAAATATACTGTTCCAAAGCTCGAACTTAACGCTGCATTGCTTCTTGCTAAGCTTATAAATCGTGTGCATAAAAAGTTATCATTGAAAAGAAAAATAGATGACGCTATATTATATTCAGATTCACAGATCGTGTTAGCATGGATATGCACAAATGTTGCTAAATTAAATACTTATGTTGTTAACAGAGTGAAAGATATATTACAGCTTACAGATGACTACAATTGGGCATACGTCAACACCACTGATAATCCTGCAGATTGTTTGAGTAGAGGTGTGTTGCCGCATGAACTTGAGGATCACCAGTTGTGGTGGAAGGCACCAGTTTTCCTTCATGATATTCAATATTCAGTGCCAGATAAAACCATCACTAAAGTTGATAATCTTCCTGAGGTTAAAAACAATAGTTCTGAGTTTTCAAGTGTGTTGACTTGCACAAATACAGATAACAATGAGCTATGTTTAGATTTTTTATATAAATATTCTGATATAAATAAAATGCAAAGAGTTTTAGCTTATGTGCTTAGATTTTGTTACAATACACACAATATAACAAAAACACTTTGTCCTTTTATAACGACTTCAGAATTGAATAATTCTCTATTTTTAATTTTAAAACATGAACAACAATTGTACTTGAAAGATGAGATTAATTGTTTAAGAAAAAATGATACTGTAAAAGGTAATCTTAAAGCTTTGCATCCTTTCATTGATGATAGAGGTTTAATCAGAGTTGGTGGTCGTTTACATAACGCTAATATATCGTATTCACGAAAACATCAAATTGTGTTACCTAAAGATTCTATTATTACAAAATTAATAATAATAAATGAACATTTAAAGAATCTTCATGCGGGGCAAAGGCTTGTGCTGTCATCATTGAATCAAAAATTCTGGATTTTAAATGCTTTAAGAGAAATAAAAAAGGTTATACATAAATGTTTGATTTGTTTTAAATTAAAGAAAAATGCATCTCAACAATTAATGGGTTCTTTACCTTTTGATAGAGTTAATGTTTGTAGACCATTTCAAAAAATTGGAATTGATTTTGCGGGTCCTATTACTGTGAAACAATCTTCAATAAGAAAGTCATATCAATCTACAGGTTATATATGTGTATTTGTATGTTTTGTTACAAAAGCATTGCATTTAGAATTATTATCTGATATTAAAACTGATTCATTTCTTGCATGTTTTAGCCGGTTTATTTCACGTCGAGGGTTACCAACAGATGTCTATTGTGACAATGCATCAACATTTAAGTGTGCCAAGTCTAAGTTAGATGAATTTTATAAAATACAAACTTCTAGGGAACACCAAATGAAGGTTCAATCGTTTGCATCTAATAAAGGAATAAAGTTCCATTTTATACCCTGTTATTCTCCAGTTTTTGGTGGATTATGGGAAGCTTCAGTGAAAAGCGTTAAATTTCATTTGAAGCGGGTTGTTCAAAGAGCATTGTTAACTTATGAACAGCTGTCTACTGTCTTGTGTAAAATTGAAGCAGTGCTTAATAGTCGACCATTAGTTCCATTATCTAGTGATGTCAGTGACTTTTCTTATCTATCACCAGGACATTTTCTAATTGGCACAGCTTTAAATAGTTATCCAGAACAAGATTTAACGCACATTCCAGAAAATAGGATTAAGTTTTGGAAAATATGCACTAGCATGCAACAATCATTCTGGAAAGTGTGGAATAAAAGTTATTTGAATATATTACAATCTCGTCCCAAGTGGAGAGATGTCCTTCCTAGCATTAAAGTTGGTTCACTTGTAATTTTACATGAAAGTAATACACCGCCTATGTACTGGCCCATGGCAAGAGTAGTTAAGGTATTTCCTGGCTCAGATGGCAATGTACGAGCTGTAGAGGTTAGGACAATGAATGGTAAAACGCATACTAGATCTGTTACGCGATTAAGTGCATTACCTATAGATTATAATTAAAATAATAATTGTTATAATATGTTGTATTAGTTAATAATAATAATTTAGTTGTATTACTAAAAAGTTATTTTTTTATGGCAAGTAAGTCAATAAAATATTTGGTTAATTATAATAGAATGATAAAAAATGTAAACTTAAGTTTAATGTTATTTTAAGTAAGTTTATGTAAGCTACAGTCGATTTAATTTTATTGTTTCTATTAACATGTCCACATAGCTATGTATGTGTTTATTAATATTATTCAGTTTAATTATAGTTGAGCCCGCAGCATGTTGCGTGCAACATAAATACTTTTTTTGTCTATGATTTTTAATTTGATTTTATAATCTTAAATAAAAAATGTTCGTTACATATTAAAAGTCTATACTAATGTCTATACATAAGATTCTATAAATTGTACTACAAATTCAATAAATAAATATTTATATTACAAATACAAAGGCGTCTATGTAATAACCCAACCAGCCATCAGTCTACTAGATAACACAACCATACATCGTTACAGAATTATTATTATATTAAAGTTCAAGAAACGAGAAAAACATGTAAGTTGCTCTTTTTTTAAAATGCTGGCGTTTTCCATATTTCTTGGATTTTTTAAAAAGCTTAGTAAATGATTCTTTCTTTCTGTATTTCTTTTTGGCAGTTCTTATCAGTAGAAGTGGCAAAGTATTCTGTTATCAGTAAATTACTATAAAGTACTCGATACCTACAGGCATCGATTTTTTTATGTATCTTTCTAACACTACTTTCTCATGACAGCATGACAGCTGATGACGTCACAGGCCAGTAAACAGAATCGTGATTGGTTGTGACGACGACCAATTATAGGACGTTTTCGTCGTTGAATAAAATCTTTAAAATATTGCATTTTCTTTACGTTATTTTACTAAATCTAAACATGTTTTTTTCTGCAGATGTTAAGAAATAAGCTTAATTATATTATTATCTATCAGGATGACCACAAAATGCAACTTATTTTCGATAGTGTCAAATACCCTATTCAAATTTGATGGAAACAGAGAACCGCGTCAAATATGCAATGTGATGCAGACTTTTGTACCTTCAGCTACCATTTTCTCTAAAACTAGGAAGACGGCTAGGTACCTACCCAAAACAGGGCTGTATAGCTAAATGCCTTTGCCGATAGTAGATCTATATATTTAAAACGTATAAATTTAAATCTGTCATGTATCACTGGCTCCCAATCACGTTCTACGAAGAAATTTTTTGTTAGGAAGTTGATCGTCTGATAACCTACTAAGTCTGTGAAACGAATGGACCAAAGACAGACGTTTCCGTTCCTTTTAACATATTAAAAAACTGAAATTAGTAAAGTTCGTAACTTAGATATCATTACAAATACGATAAAGTATAAATAGAATTTGAGTTGTTTATTGAGTTTTGAAAACTAATTTACTTTTAAACATGAAATAAAACTGGAAGGGTTGTCATGGAGAAATCAGAACGTACCGTAGCGACATCTAGTTTGATTTCAGGAACCAATGTTTTTTAAATACTTCCTAATTCCTAGAAATCTATGGTGGGGCCTCAAGCTTTAATATTTACTTAAACCATTATTACCAAGAATATTTTGCTGGCACAATGAGAATAACTGTAACTCGCAAGCTTGGCCATTTTCATACTGAGCGATAACTGTGGTTTCTAAGCTGACGATAATATTTAGTATCGTATCATGTCGTCATTGTCACAGTGTGAAAAACGCCAGTGTGATACTTGTTCCTAGGTTAAATACACTCTACATGATACCATAAAGAATGGATTACACCTTTTACAGTGCTTGGCATAGCGCTGCCCATCTAAACTGCTATTCGAATTGGTCTGTGGTTTTATGGATTTTTTTCGCGCCGGCGCGAAACGCGGTCATTTGCTATTTCCTGTACCACACGTACTTATTTACCTTTTTGCTGTACATTCATAGCTTATTTAATTTTCTAATATTGTACCGATAATTTGAAGATGATTTCGGTTCGCGACATAAATTTGAATTTTATAGGTGTTAGGTAAAATAATGTGTCGGCAACTTAGTTGTAGTTAGATAAACAGTGTGTAAATACTGAATGTGTTTAAATTGTGCTGAGCTTGTGAGCGAACGTTTTATCATCAGATAAAATGGGTTCCATCGTTCTTAAGAGTCTGTCGGTCCTTTTGGGAGTGTTTTTTATATTTGTCGGTATAACGAAACTGACCCCATTTATTTCTAAGGAACTGCATAAAGATTTGGTAAGTAATATCATTTACAATACTTACGTATTTTGTTTGTATTAATATGAAAAAGAAGTTAGAAAGGTCACTATGTGCATACATCGATTTTTTGTTGCGGAGCTAAAAGCTATTTTCGTACTTGGCCGACGGCCTAATACCACCACAGACTTCAATTATCTATTTTGTGCTTCAACACATCTCGTAGTTCAGTTTTCGCGACAGTCTGATCGAGAGTTGTTTATTCACAATTTATTGTAATGCAATTATAAATTATAAACTTATAGACATTGATTGACATAGTAAGACTTTTAATAATAGAAAATTATGGACGTTATTATACCTATGAATAAGTACCTACTTCTAATCTAGGAATATTACAGCAGACATGACTCTTATACCATATCGTAGTGCTCGCTTACGCACGCACGCACACACGCACGCACAAACGCACGAACGCACGCACGCGCTCACGCATACACGCACACACACACATATCTTAAAGTAGATGTACTTATTGTAAATAAATACTATAAATTAATATTGTTTCCGGCAGACTGTTAGAGAAGGCCCTCGACATTTAAGTCTGCCATTTTCTGATCTACGCAATAATTATAAAATAACTAAATACACCACTGACACCCAAAATGTACCCGAGGGGTCGACAACGACGAGGCATTCCTGCTGCTGCGGCTGATAGCGAAAACTATGTCATACAATGTTAGTCGTGATTTGGGTTGCCACTAAATGTCCTACGGTATTTTTTAAAATCAATCATAAATATGAATTTAATAGAATCATCAATTATTATGCAAAACCACTCTATATTTGTCCCAGTGGAGTTATTAGACCTTGCCGTACTAACCAACAACATACAACCTGTTTGAATTGAATAATGTTTACAAAAAATAATAATAACCTTTATGGCATTTAGAAATCTCAAAAAAGTACTGAGCAGTCGCGGTGTAAACAAGGCCTTAGGTATACGGTATACCTAGTTTTTATAAGTACCTAGTGCTGCATCGTAGTATTTTCCTTTCCTTTATTTTTATTATCAAGTAAACAAAAATAAATAACTGTTGAAGATAACATCTTTATATGTATTTCTCAGTAAGTTAATTTTAGAAAATTTAAAAAAATATATATCTAAAAACACGGAGGTTTGAGATGTGTTATCAGAGTCATTTATTTCTTGACTTACATTTTGTTGATTATAAACGCAGTTTTTATTTGAAATAATAAATAGAGATCATGTAGTACGATAAAAAGTTATATCACTAATTTTTGGACAAACAAATAAAAGTCCAAATAAGATGTAATATGAGAAAACTACAATATATGTTAAAATAAAGTATGTTTGTAAAAACGTCTAATATTAGGTGGAAATAGAAAAAAAAATACCTCTACAGCTATTTTTAATTTTTCGATTTCTTGGCGTAATATAAAATTTTTAGTGTGAAGATTAATCAATGATACATTACAGTCAGAGCGAGTGGTGGGAATTAACGACTGCAGTTGCAGCCGGGACTAACAGATCAATGTGTCTGATAGTAATTTTCGGTCACCCATTCTATGACTGGCCCTTACGAAAGTTGTTTAACTTCCGCACAGCAGACCGAATAAATAGGGACATTCTTTTGTCTTTACACCCAGTCTCAATAATTTTGTCTATTTTCGAAACATTATTATGACTCCAAAGAAACTCATTTATCGACAATTTATGATGCTACGTAGGTAGGACTGCCTTTGATATAGACTTGACGGATAAGGTTTTAACATATGACAAACGCAATTTTCCGGATCTTCGTTCGTGGTTTGAGAATGCATTAAGCACGTGTAGCATGACAAACTCGAGAGAACAGAGAAACGGATAAAAATGTATTTACATACCCCAAAAAAGTGACATTTGGATGTAGACAGACGAAACAATTGTCCAGCCTCGAATCTGCTGAATCTAATGAAATACTTAATGGCCTTATCTCACTGAATTTTTACTTAACGCCAAATGTTATTGCTGTAATAGCATCTTGATGTATTAACGATGACAAATTCTTTTGTTATTTTGCGATAGAGTGGCAAAAAATTTGCTATTGAAATGCCGAATAGAACCTCACTTCGACATGCTACGCGTGCTAAACATTGCGCCATTGAGTTTTTCGAATCAAAAATAATAAGAACATAATTAAATAAGTATAAGGTTATGTATAGTGACAAGCTCATCCTTATTTAACTTTTCAATACTTTGTTTCAGAGAAAAGAATATGTGAGATATGCGAAAGTGTTCCCGTTCACGGAAATGTTGGATTTAAAATTACCATCGAAATGGTACCGGAGGACGGTTGGAGCCTTGGAGATCATTTTTGGATTAGTTCTTGCACTGATACCTAGTCGTAAGTTTATAGTTAGGTCACATTATTATTAATTATCCAGTAAACTATATTTTTACGCAATTATTTTTTAACCTTTCTCTTTTTTTTTTAATCTTCTACATAATAAATTGTCGATGTAATTAATTAATAATGATATTATAGCACTTCCTTTTTAAGTTTTTTTTTTTGTTCAAATATTTGATATTTAAGTATCTGAATCTACACAGTAATAAAAAGCAAACAGGTCGTAATGGTTTTAGATTTAATATTTCTATTTTAAAACATAACATTGTGTTGAACCTTACAGATAAGTTGAAAAACATTGCCAACGTGGGGTTGGTACTGTTGATGATCTTAGCAGCGTACTCGCATATAATGGTAGGCGACCCCTTCGACCGCTGTGCCCCAGCGTTAGTCTTCTTCTTCATGTTGAGCGGCCGGCTCGTGGTATGGTAAGTATCTTAGGTTAGGCATCTTTTTGCCCCACGGATCTTGTGATTTTTTCAAACAACGGTAGGAACTTGATAATGAGTGCCTCTTCAGCAATTAGATAAATTGTTAATAAAATCCACAGACGTATAATGGATGGCATTTTTGCTTTCTAGCTTTAACTAGGTAAGTATAATACATTAATTTTAGTAATATCCTCTAATGAACATTAAAAAAAACGTTGGACAGTACCTATACGGAAAAGCGACCTTATTGCTCTCAAATAATGGTGATAAAATAAATAAGTAGGGGAATAGAACCTAATATTGTATACAATAGAATAGAATAGAAAATTGTTTATTTAGCACCAAATTAGATTCAAAATTAGGTACTAAAAAGGTCTCCACTCAGCAATATGCTGCAGTGTTTAAGCTACGGCGCTGATTTTCTGCGGATACCTTAATATATATATATATACCTATATGTAAGAAAGAGTAATGAAATGAGTTAAAGGAAAAAGGTGAGCTTCCATAAAAATGTTTGGTGTTTGTCTAGAACTGATCCCCTTTGATAGGCTGATAGTAGTCAATAGATTATATTTTCAATACAATATTTACCCTTTGTGTACGGAACCCTAAAAAATAACTACAGAACAATTTTAATTTGCTAATTATTTGATTCAATTTAATGTATATTCTTCCCACAACCTCGTTTTCAATTGCCTATCGCGGTAGTTCGCCTGAAATTTGTGCCATAGTGTAGGCCCATTTCGAATTGGCATTATAAACATTTCAATACCGTTTTTTTTCATTTTCGGCAGCCGCCGAGTAGATAGGAGACGAACCGCGTAACATCTACCTACCGCTAGTGCTGATGCACGACCATAGATAATACATAATACTGGTATAGACGACTGAAAGTCTGTAGTTTAGTAAACGCGATTTTTTCCCGCGCTTTTTTTTCCATAATTGCGGATATTCCCATATGATTCAATGTGTTACATAATTGTAATAATAAATTCGTGCGATATATAATCGCGATGTGGACAGTCCCTCGCTGCAATTTCACTACATAGTATAAGAACAAAATCGCTTTCTCTGGTCCCTATATCCCTATGTATGCTTAAATATTTAAAACTACACAACGGATTTTAATGCGGTTTTTTTTTTCATAGATAGGGTGATTCAAAAGGAAGATTTTTATGTATAATACAAGACCACACGCGCGAGGCCACTGGCGGAAAGCTAGCTTTTATATAAAATGTACATGTGGGCGACATGATGATGCAAATAAAGAATATTTTTATACCTTTCCGTAGAAACTCCTCAGCCCAAGCCACAGCGAGGCACGTCTCGGTTTATTAAGTGACCTATACCGATCGTAATCAAACTTTGCATCGAGAGATCAAAAGGCCTCCGTACAATAACAAAAATACAGTTTTTATTTATTGCATACCAACATTTGATCGCAACGGCGAGGTTGGTCGTGGGAAGTTTTGACGTCACAGCTGTTCTGGATTCTTTGCCTGCCTCACGTTACTGTCATCGTGACTTACCCAAATAACTATATAAATATATAAAAGAATAAAGTATCTAAATGTCATATTTACGTGGGTAATGAGCTTTGGAAACGATATGAAACATCAACTGCTACTTTCAGTTGTTATGATTTGGACACATCATTGAATGCGTCCTCCATTTCTTTTTTTTAAATTATACTGGTGACAAATATTACATACATTGCTCAGATTTCAAATTAAACAGTAAGCGCTTGTATTATAAAAATATGTAACAGTACCCAGATACGAGGCAGTATAGAAGAGTCGATTTTCTGCAGTGACCCGGCTGAGTATCGAACCCGAGATCTCAGAGGCGACACTGAAACCGGCCACTTGTGTTATAGTATTGAAACGCAGGCAAAGTTTGTCTGCGCTCGCCTTTTTAACATTAACCTTGACCACTTTCTTAACATGTAAACAGTGGTTACGTTACGAGATTTAAATGAATGCTAACGTTTGAACGCTCGGTTGGCGTGTAGCCATGCTGTTAGTGATTCGTCTGAAGAACCGTTAGTTTATTCAGTTTGTAATACGCACGCATAGGCATTATATCTAAAATTAATTTTATATTGGTTCAATACAACGCGTGTTCAATGATCGTACATATTTTAACGCGCTAATAATTCATGCAAAAAATAAAAATCAAGTTTGTAATTAGATAGACACTATGGTTCAAACCAAATATAAGGATTAAAATGCAAATAAAATACATATAACAATGTTTTTGCTATTTCTTTCTATTATAAACTGTATTGAAAGAAACAGACATAACATGGATAAGATTTTGTTGTTCTAAATAGTGTTTCAGGCAGACTAATTTCTGTTCAGGTATCAAACGAGCCGCCGAGAAGAACTTGAAAAGGTAGCAGCCACTCAAAATGGGAACGGATTGAAGAGGGATTAAATTTTACACATACCTACATAATTTTAGTCTGGCAGTAACATAATTATTAACAATATTTAATTTACACATCAATTAAAAAAGGTCCCTAGCCATAAAAGCTCATAGGATGGCCGTATACGGCACCGTGTACATCACTCAAATGTTAGAATGTTTGAAAAATAATAGGGTGAATGATATTTAAAAACCGATCACTGAGCTGTGATTTTTCTAGTCAACTTTTATTATTTTAGTCATCGTATATGATATACTTGAAATAGAAAATCATTTGATACTATAAGTATGCTGTAAGTGTAAGTCAGGGGTTCCTAAACTCTTCGTGATTAATTAGGAAAAATATCCAAGGAGAATATTATCCATCATCCAAACCTCTTGAAGCCAGGCACGTCAGGGGTGCGACCGCCTAGCGCTATTTGATATTTGTATGGAAACGTAAGTTACAAGAGGGCCTAAAATCATGTTACCCTCGAGATGGTAACCCTTACGGAATACGTATTACTCTCTGGTTAGGAATCACTGCTGTGAGTAAATGTTTTTGTACTAGTTTGTGAGAAACTGCGCCAATAATTATAAATTTGTACTTAATCATCACAAACCTAATTAATAATTACTTACGAATTAAATAATTCATTATATTATTTAATTAATATCATCTTTAGGTGACCTCGTTTTGAGAAAATATGCTAGTAATTCGTTTTCCAAAAGTGATATTAATTTAAGAATCATGTGCTAGGTTCATTTTGTATGAGAGTCTGTGTCGTTAATTGGGATGACGACTAATATTTGTTTGTTCGTCCGTCGTAATTTATTATACGTATTTTTTTATTTCTTGTGTAATCAATAAATTACGGTAATACATTGATTTGAAATGTCGCATGACGTCATGTTTTTGTGCATTTTCTACAAAACTATGACGTAGCGAGCCCTCACTCCTCAGCTTTAATGCCTATAATCTAAGCCATTTCTTGTTCAAATTGAAGCAAAAAATACGTATATTATATTTTTGTATTATCTGACTGACAGAAAAAGAACTTATTTTTTTTACCCAATCGTCATCCCTATTTTGTCTGTATGTCCATTGGTAGCTTTAAATAATGCTATTTCGCAAAATATATTGTTTTTTGTAACAACGCAAATTTCTAGTGGTAAATATGATTTGCTCAATAAGTAGGTATGCACCTACTTAAAAAATACTAATACTAACATTCAAATATTTTTTTTATTGCTTTAAAAACAAAATAGGAAGACTGACGTTAACGTTTAAAAATAACAGGTTATAATGGGACAGTCTGGTTTAAATCGGAAATAGACCGACAAGGTGATAATGCGTCTGCTAGATCGTAAACGAACATTTACCAGCGTAGCGCCCCCATTATAAAAAAAAACTCAAAATATTTATTAAGATACAATACCTATATGGATATTTGAAAATAATACTCAGCACTTACTTTTATATTAGCTATTTACCAATAATTTTGAAATTATTGACAGAATTATAATATTAAAAAAACTTTATGCAAGTATTATTGCATAACGTTTTTTTACCGACTCTAACGGTGGTTTTGCTATCTTTGTAGTTTCCCTGTCGGTACGATTCCCTGTCGGTTTGACTGTGTAAAAAAAATACTTTTCTATTAATTTGGATGATCTTTTAGTATTGAAATAAATCTAACAGAGGATCCCTCAAGTCTCACGATATATATGTCGGAGTATTCCGAAGTATATACTTGTCAGTTCAGATGATACGCGGCCACGACGCTACATCTTCCTTAAGACATGCACCGACCCTTAAATTTCCATAATATGCGAAATAATTTTTTATGGAATCCATTAATTTAAGCCGATGTGGATTTTCAATATACTGTCATGTATACCTATTTTATTTCTATAAAAAACTGGAAACTTTAAAATATGTTGTTAAAATGAAAATTTTCCTAGACAGGGCTACCTTAGATTATATAATATTCATATATGAATAATTGATTATTCATTTCACTGTATGTGTGGTGCGTGAACGTGAGATTTCGTTAATAAGATGTCTTTGAATAAACTTAATGTAAAATTATTTCGGTGTTTTATTCAATCACTTTTGTAGTTTTTAATAAATAATATATGTGTTCAGATGTCTTATAATTGTTTTCAAACACCCACAGATATATTATCCTTGATAATTTCAATTTTTTTTCTCTTAAATTAAAGTTCACATTGGTGACAACTTCATTGTCACCAATTAACGTTTAATGAGAAATTTAAGCTCTAATCAATGTTTGAATTTGAAAATTGGTATCGGTAATGTCGCTTAAAGTTTACTACAAAGTTAAGGTTACTACAAACTGTTTTGTTAAGTGGGTACTTAACAAAAAACAAAATTATTTCTCAATTATTTTCATTACTAAACTTTGTGTCATCGAAGGGTTTTTGGAATTTAGTCGTTGTTTTACATTGTTGCTATTGTGTTAACGAGTTAACATTTTCTGTTATTTTCTATCATAGTGGGCGAATATTGTTTAATTTGAAATTATAGTGTTTTCTCATTGTTTGTGATTGCAAAAAATGCCACTCGATGCAATTAATGTAGCTACGGCAATGGCTTTAGCTGATGCGGGGTATAGCCAGCCATACTACGGTACGAGATGCCATCAGACGATTTCGCGAGACAGGCTTATACACCCGCAGGCCAGGTCATGACATGACCGATATCGATGCACTTCGATATGACAGTTTCGTTGTTACCAATGTGTTGAGAAATCGCTTCCGACCGCTATTGATACTCGTGAGCGTCTTTTTGAGGTGAGAAATGTCAGTGTCAGTGAAAGTACCATTAGAAGAAGACTAGTAGAAAGTAATCAAGAGGGCTTTTCGCTCCTTCGCGCTCCGCAACTGCTCCCACAACACCGTAAGGCTAGAGTTGGTTTTGCGCGAGAATATGCTGACTGGACTGTAGAGGAATGGAAGAACGTACTGTTCTCAGATGAGAGCAGAATAGCTTTAAGTGGTCTAGATGGACGTCAGCGTGTCTACAGGCGTCAAAATAAGAGGTTTGCTCCATTCGATTTAACTGAAATAGTAGGTTACTAGAGAGGGTCCATAATGGAATGGGAAGGTATCTCTTATGAGGCTCGTACCGATCTTGTGTTCAATAGAGAAAGTGCAAACGGTCAAAGATACGTGGAAGAGGTTCTTCATACCTTTCGCTCCGTTAATTGGTGACAACTTCAGATTAATGCATGATAACGCACGTTGCCGTACCGCAAGATCCGTCAGGTAGATTCAAGTTTTACCATGGCTCTTACGCAGTCCCGATTAAGCCAATCGGTTAAGCCAAATAGAGCACATTTGGGACAACCTTAAAAGAGGTATCGGAGCAAGAGTACCAGTCCCTACGACAAGAGGAGAGCTAAAAAAGGCAGCAGTGGAGGTGTGGCACAATATCCCCCAATGGGATATTTAAGACATCATGGATGGATTGACACTTTGGCTTCAAAAAATCATAAAGGCCAGAGGTGGCAACACCCACTTTTATTTTTATTTAATTGCCCCATAATTTTCAAAACAACAATTTTATAATTTTTTGACTTTAATGAAAGACATTTTCCGATATTTTTGTTGTTTCTTTTTCTTTAAGTATAGTTTTTAATATTCCTTTCATAAAATATGGTCTAATTGTAAGTATAAAATATTTTTAAGTAAGTATTAAATAATGAAGGAAATTGAAGGTTAATTGTGCCAGTGGGTGTATGATTATTTTATATTATATAATTATTCACTTTTTATTGAAGTTGCACGAAAATATCTACTTTACATATTTCTATATCCACGGATCACGATGTAAGTATGTATATATGAAAATCCTGGTTCAGGTTGTTTTCTAAATAAATAAAAAATATTATAAATCACTTACATTTTAATATAAGAACATTGGGCATAGATTCTGTATATAAATAAATACATGTTTTATATATGAACAACATTGCTTTGCATTTATCTATGTTTATATTTAATCAACTATACATTCAAGTAACTACTAGGTGGACCAATATCAGAACAGGGGTCATAATCGTCGCGTATTGGCACCGTTCCTCGATATTTATATTTGCATTAGATTGAAAGAGCTCATATTCAGGCTCTAAATCACAGCGTCATATTGGTTAGCGATTACTTTAATAGTAAATACAAAAAAAGACCACTCAAAATGAATGGTTATTTACAAGAATTAGATTTTTAGGGTTCCATATCAACGGGATCACATTACCAAGACTCCACTGTCCATCCGTCTGTCACAGGACTGTATCTCATGAACCGTGAAAATTTCACAGACAATGAGCTTCTACTGCAGCTTTAAAAACAAATACACAAAAAACAAAATAAAATGAATATTTATGTTAATGGACGACCATACAACAAACGTGATGTATTTAGCGTTTTTTATTGATAATGGTATGGACCCGTTCGTGCGCGATTCCGACTCGCACTTGGTCGTTTTTTAAACTAAGCTTTATAACATACCACTTCAGTTAGATAATACAGGGATTCATGAACTTTAGGAGACAGAATAATCTATAATTTAAATACTAGAATAATAAACTCAAAATTATCGTGTATGATGATTTAGAAAACAAAAATAGGAAAAAGCATACATGACACTACCATAATTATCATAAAATTGATAAACACATTGTTTTGCTTCAAGATGACCAACATTCTATGAATGAGTACATTGCAATCACATAATTAAAAAATATGTATATTGAATCTTTTAAGACTTGTTGACTTTACTATGTTGTACACAAACATAAATTTGTACATTAAAATTGTTAATAAAAATTAAACATTATTGTCATTATATAAAAATAAAAACTTATCTTATACATTTTAGTAAATCAACAAATAACATTGTGTATTTTACTTTCATATTAAGTGTTTGTAGTCAAAAAGGAATACCTATAATTGCATTATATATTCACAAAGCTACATACTGCAAGGTAATATCATAAAACTTTAAGTGTTTTCAAAGTTATGGAGACCAGAAGCAATACAGAGCTAATTTTATTCAAGAAAATATAACTTCTCTGGTGTTGCATGAAGAAAAACTTAGTTGTGATATATTTTATGATGAATTAATTGCCTGATGTGGAAAATTCCTCTTAGATACAAAGCAAAAATAAATATTAAGCAGGATCACGACCAGTTTGCAATAGCTCTAAGGCGTTTTTCAGATTATTAATTGCAGTTTTAATGTCGTCATAATTCAATGCACTGCTTGCCCACTTACAATACTTTTGGGCTTTTGATATTTGATCAGGTGTAAGTTGAGCGATAGCTGTCATACTATCACCGTAAAGTGGTGTGGGATTGGGTAGTGGTTGCTGAGAAGGATCGTAAGGTACAAATCCACCAGGATTTGGGTCTGGGGTGTATGGCACCGGTGGTAACTGTGACGCTGCCTTTAATGCTGCATTGGGATCAGGAAGAGTGTTACTAAAACTAGTGGGAATAGTAGGTGTTGCTGGAGGTACTGCAGTGAAACCCATATCTTGAGAAGTGCTGTCAGATGCAGGCTGATCATCGGTAGCCGAATTCTCATTGTTTTCCCCTTCTATTGGCATGGGACCTGTATACAAATTATATTCATCAAAATATCAAATCTGCTTGAATTCCAAGGATTCCATACTAAATTTTAGGTATACAAAAAGTTTTATATTATCAAAATAGCATTACAAATGTAAAATATCAGGAATAGATCTATAACAATATAGCTTCTTGTATAACATTACTGTATCTCAATAAACTGTTTTTTTTTCCTAGCTTCCAGGTTATTAATTTTACAAAACAGCAAAAAACTTTCTTACTAGACAGGCATTTATTTTTTATAGCCAAATTACAGCAAATAGAGGACTTACTGCCAGAGGCATTTTTAAGTGAGGATATACATAACATTTGAAAGGCAGTACCATGATTTGTGATTGCATTGGATTTTGTTTGTTTTTGAGATATTGAATGCTGTATTTTAAGAAATACATAAATATATGATGAAATATAAAACAATAACTGTAAACACACCTGGGACAGGAGTCTCGCCGTTCTTTAGGCAATTATGAATATAAGCAGCTTTCCACTTTGCATATTTTCTGTTTTGGGCCGCTTCATCAGTAAGTTCTCCAAATGTACAAAGAACATCATAAATCATTCCAGCAGTATAAAATGCTTTAACTACATTCCTGTAACATATTTTTAAATAGATTTAAATTTTGATGAACATAAATTTACCTGATTCATAAGTAAGACATATCATAAAACTAAAATTCACATCTATAAGTTACTGTACAAATCTATATGTTGGTAAATGTTAGATTTTACTAATAAGTCTTGGGATTTACCAACACCAGTTGATAAATATAAGAATTTTATAAAAAGAGATTATTGGCTTTGACTATTAGTTTGCTAAATTTGACTGATGAGTATTTGAAAATAAAAAAAAAAAACAATGAGTATTTCATAATCTCAAATTTCAATTACATATCATTCAAAGCCTAATATCATTATTCTTATAAAGGTTTTTTTATCATTTAAATCATACCATCTCAACCATTGATCAAAATTTTATATAATAATAAAAATACTCTTTAAATAAAAGTATATAAATATTGACTGCTAAGTAAGTAATGATTGTTGCTATAATTAACAATTAAGCTCGTTGACAGACTGGGAGTTCTTGCTTGTAAATTATTTTTATGTTTCAAAACACAACTGATTTTATTAAAATTAAAAACATACTTTCCAAAATTCTGTTCTCGGTCTTGTTTGTCAGCATACAAAAACAACTTTAATGCATAATTTTCAAGATGTGCTTGAGCAGCTACTTCATTGCTTATAGCTTCATTATCTTTGTGGACTTTTTTAGCTTCTTCTAACCAATCCATAATTGCTGTAAATTAAAACTTGTGGTTAAATAAATAAATATTGAAAAATGTCATATAGTTTATAATTAGTAACATGTATAACTTTAAAAATCATATTACAAGTCAAATTACCCATCAACACTTTGGTTTCTTCGGGCGTTTTCTTGGTCGTGATTTTCAACCCGACTTGTAATGCATGAAGTCGACACCAATAGGCAACCACAGGATCTCTAGCATCGTGTTCAGTTGCAGTTTTTAAATAATGCTGGATAGATTTAAGACTTGGAGGGCATTCGGGAATATTTGAGGACATAATTGGTATGTATACGCAGTTATATTTTAGGCAGACGACAGATACTTTGCACTTGAAGGAAAATACAATATTATTAAATATCACTGTATTTAATTGGGACGTAAAGTATTAGTTTTCTTTATATCACCAACTGGATTTAACGTTAATTTATACAGAAAAATACAACTTAATGACAAAAAATAATAACTTTTAGTTTGACATATAACATAAAGTACTCTGTGGTTTGACACTTGACTGCTTGACTAGGGATACGAAAAAAGTTTTGATACCTCAGGGTATCAATACCTTTGCTTATAAATCAATAAGGAAGTATTTAAAAAATAAAAATAAATTCTTGAAATCAAACTAGATGTCACTAGCGATTTTCCGATAATTGTCTATGACATTCATTCAAATTTTCTTTCTGACTTTTTTAAATGTAAATTGAGTATCGAAAATTAATAAATATGACATCATTTCGTGTTTTATAAGATCTTACTTACAAATTAATTTTAATCGTCGTTGTTATAACTTTCAAATTATTTATTTTAATTGTAAGTTTAAGTTATTGATTATCTTGTAAATGGATGATGTTTGGTTTATATGTCACCATTAGTGATGAGCTAAGTTATTGGTTGTTCGTAAATTTAATTGACTCGATTCATCCAAATTCATGTTTGGAATGAAGAACAAAAATGGAGCGCAGAATTCATCTCATGTTTTATGTGCAGTATTTCAATATGTGCCATTATGCATCCACACGTCGAATGATATTAATATAAATATCGAAATCAGTCTAGCCTATAGTATAATCTTTAGAGAATTGAAACAACAAGAGAAATCATCACCAGCTGTAATGTCCCTGCTGCCAGGGCGTGAAAATCAGGGGGGCGCTGAAATCTTGTCTTAACAAGTACAACATAATCAAAAAATAATGCCGAACACATAAAGTAATCGGTATCTCATATTACAAACGATAATCGAATAATGTGTTTTCCATTTTTTCGTTTGCGTCATTATAATGGTCGGATGACATCTGTCAAAAGTAGAATACAGTTTCATAAAAATAATAATATCGACATACCAAGTTCGATATATATCGGTTACTGTCGATAACGATATATCGACATTATCTATATATTTCTCTATATATAGATAATGTCGATAGATAAAAAAAGCAATTAAAGAAAAACATAAATATCACACTAAATACAAATTATATGGCAACAGATCTGACTTATTGTCTTTTGAATTTCAAAGGAGTCGCGTGAAAATGTTAGAGAAAAAATGCTTACATAATTATACCCAACTTATGGAAGATTACATAACTATTCAGCCTAAAGGTTTTTGGTCTTTTATTAAATCTCGCTCCGACGTTGGTAGTATGCCAAGTAGCCTTCATTATAGGGGCACAATAGTTAACACAGGTACCGATATTTGCAATGCCTTTTCACAGTATTTTCTAACTAATTTTTCGCCTAGAACAGCAGCTAATTTAAGCTTCGACTCTGACGAGGGTATTAATGTCATATCTGATATCTCCAGTGTTGTGATTCATACTGACGTGGTATTCAAATTACTCTCTAATCTTGATACAAGTAAATCAGCAGGCCCAGATCATCTTCCAGCTCTATTCTTGGTTAATTGTGCGCCCAGCATTACTAAGCCCATTTCTTTGTTATTTCAGCGTTCCCTTCTTGAATCCAAAGTACCTAATTTATGGAAGCAGGCATTTGTTACACCTGTCTTAAAAAAGGGGGCTAGGACTGAAGTTATTAATTATAGGCCTATCTCTAAGTTGTGTGTGGTGGCAAAGGTATTAGAAAAAATTGTTTACTCTCAATTATTTAACGCCATAAAAGATTCTCTAGCAAATTACCAGCATGGGTTTATGAGTCATAGGTCTACAGTTTCTAATCTTATATTACTTAACGACTATATATCAAAATCTATGGATGACGGATCTCAAGTAGACGTCATCTATACTGACTATTCAAAAGCATTCGATAGGATTGATCACGTCATACTTCTGGCCAAGCTAGCTCGGATCGGTGTTAGGGGTGACTTATTGAGATGGTTTTCATCCTACATAGATAACAGGTCTCAAGCAGTAGTCATAAGTAATCACGTATCTAGTTGGGTGATTATACCTAGTGGAGTAGCCCAAGGCTCATTGTTGGGTCCTCTCCTCTTCAATATATTTGTCAATGACATAGGAAGTTGCTTCAAGTACTCAAATCTTCTATGCTTCGCGGATGATATGAAGATATATGCTGAAGTAAAATCTGTTGCGGACTCAGTAGCACTACAGTTTGATTTAGATAGTCTGGGTGAGTACTGTGTAAGAAATAAGTTGGACCTTAATCCTTCTAAGTGCTTTTCTGTCACATTTTCACGAAAGTCAACTGTTATTAATCACGTTTACACCATAAACAATCAAGACCTCCAAAAAGTGAGTGAGATTAGAGACTTGGGTATCATACACGATTCCAAGCTTATATTTGATTCTCATATTCACTCTATTATTCTTAAAGCCGCTAAGTTATTTGGGTTTATAATGCGAAATTCGGCTTGCTTTTCTCGAATTAAAACTTTTAAAATATTATACTGTGCTTATGTTCGTAGCCAACTGGAATATGCGTCTCAAATTTGGAATCCTAGATATGCCACTTATATTGACAGAATTGAAGGCATTCAGAGGAAATTTATAAAGTTTCTGTGTTATAAGATGAATAGACCATATGATTCATCTGAATACCTCCAAGTATGTAAAGAGCAACATTTACTGCCACTAGTGCTCCGTAGAACAGTAGCCGACATTATATATCTGCTTAAAATTATAAATTGTCAAGTTGATTATCCTGAATTGTTGCGTATCATTAAATTTTCAGTCCCGACAAGATCACAGAGATATTACCGACCTATAGCGATCCCCTCGTCATCTACAAATTATAGGCAAAATAGCTTTATTGTTAGGGCCAGCGTAAGCTTAAATATGATGCTTGATGAGTGTGGGTATGATGTAGACATCTTCGATTGCAAAATTAATTCATTTAAGCGGAAATTAATAGAATACTTTCTGTCTCGTTAACTTATGGCGCAGGTATGATTACTTATTTGATTGTGTAGCTTGTGCTATTTCTATTCACTGATTATATCTAAGCTATTTCTATATGTGGAAACCTATAATTGGCTTTATGTTTTTTATGCTGAAATCTATCATGTTTGTTTAGCTGTTGGTTTTCCAAGAATAATAAATAAATAAATAAATAAATTATTATCTATATATTTTTTGGGCCTTCAGTAGAAAATTGTTTCTTAAAACCACCGTATTTAAATAATACAGGAATATTTTTTTTCCAGTGCAAAAATTTTTTTGGTGGTTCAGTATCAGTAATAGAACACTTTTCCATAATTAGTTAAAAAAATTTTTTTTTAATATTTTTATCCCTATCGAAACGGTAGAATATGGACACATTTTTTTAAATAAAACTTCAATGAAAACGTCTTCTCTTGCGTATGCCACCGTGCAACCTCGCCGCGCCCGGTAGCCTTTGGGATCCGTAACCCCGCGGTCCCTAATGCTTTGAACCATTTTAACAGACGAAGTCCCAGAGTCAGTACCCACGATGCGGCATATCTCTTTGGTGTGAGCCAGCCTTCGGTATTGAAGCTGCTAAAAACAGCCGGACTCCATCCGTACCACTTTCAGCCGGTTCAGCAGTTCCATGACCTAGACCCAGTACCACGTCGAGCCTTATGTGAGTGGCTTCTACATCACCGCGATGCAAACATCTTGTAGACGGATGAGGCATTGTTCACAAGTGAGGGACTGTTTCTTATGGGAAGAAGTCAAACGCCGAGATGTAGAGGAGGCACAAAGTCTAGAAGACTTAACAATAAAAAATAATAACGCTTTCAGTGAAGTGAAAAGTGACACTAGTGTTTTAAACAAATTAAATGACAATTTAATGAAATGTGCACGTTTATGTCTGGACAGACGTGGACTTCATTTTGAACAAATATTTAAATACATGGTAAATAATTAGTTAGGTATTTGTTTTGATTCAACATTATTGTAAATACGTAGTTGATTCTAATTTTTTTAAATACGCCTTAACGCAGAAGTACCTATGTAACTTCGGCATAACGTTAATATTTTTTTCTAGGTAACGAATTTGTTTCTCTTTTATTTTTTTGCATTTTGATGGCCTTAACCATAAAAGTATGAAGGGAAAATTGGAATTACTCTTAGAAATCACCTCAGATCATGGCATAATATCTAGTTCGAATCTAACAAAATGAGCGTTCAGTGACCCGTGTAGATAGGTACCTACGAGTACATGCCTACGGCGTCGAGCGAGCGCTCAGCTGACGCACGGCGCGCGGTGTCCATAAATTAAGTTTTAAAATCTCGATCTTTGATAAGCGATAACTTTATTTTTTAGTATAAGAACATATCAAAATAAAAAATACGTGTTTATTTAAATTACTTAAAGTTTATTTTCACAAAATCTTCGCAGTGGTTTTAAATTATTCCTGTATACGTTTAAACATAAATGTACATATTTAAAAAAATCGGCATATAATAATTGGTAGCGGCTACTGTCTTGCTACTAAGCTTGTTCTAAGTTCATGTAATGTTGAATTTTGTACGTTTAGCATGATGGACTCGAGAGCATTTTACTTACGCCTAAATGTCACATTTCGTCGGTGTACGATATCGCACTCTTGACTCAAGAAACCTGACGTTTGTTGAAGACAAAGCATTCCTCAACTTAATTATTGTTTGCGTGCTGCTTAGGAAAGGCATTCAGAAGCCATGCTCCTCGTCACATTGGGAAAATATCTTGTTGCCACTTCAAATAGAGAGAAAGTGGATTTTTCATTAAGATTTTTTTTCAGTATAGCATTGTAAATGCAAAATTAATTAAATATAATAATAACACTTGTAAGGTATTTATGTATGCTTCGGGGTTTAAATAAGAGTTCTAGACACGTTTTACGATTTCTTTTTTATTTGTATAGAGGAAAATGGAAACTAACATAATGCAATTGAGAAAAGAGGTTTTTTTTTAATTTATGGAAATCAATTGAATTAAAGCTGTGATATAATTAAAAGAAGCATTTAGCTACGGTATACAATAATATTACAAATAGTTTTTATAAATAAAATACTATGCCATTTATTTATGCCATAGTAGGATTTTTTTAGTATTAGGAATTTTTAATTATAATATTTAACTAAAGTTCTG